CTGCAAATACACACATCCCTGGCCCGTGGCAGCCACCGTGGAACGCCGCGCCAAGGCCGCCCCCAACGGCTACAAGGCGCCCCGAAAGGGCCCAACGGACCCCAGAAAACAAAAAGGCCTGAGACCAGTCCGACAGCAGGTCAGATATCACATGTCCTGGATGTCTGCGCAAACGTGGCTCGAAGCGTCGCAGTTAGGACCGCTGCGCTGGCACAGTGGCGGACCTTGCCGCAGGCACCGGAAACTTTAGATCCCAGAGCTACGACTGCGCATGGCGGCTGGTGTCGCCCGCGCGTGGAGTGCGCCCCGAACGCTTGCATTGGTCACGCTCTCGACTCTTGGCTGGTTCGCTGAGCTCGAATATTGAAAGAGCAGCGCAGTTCGAAAGCGGGCGCGCGGCCCCATCGCTTGCCTTTCTTGGAGCAGGGAGGGGCGAATAATGAGGGAGAGGAAGGAAGGGCGCTCCCCCGCAGGAGTCGCGGCCGACTTCGACGCCATCCAGCGCGTAGAGAAAGAAGAAGGGAGCAAGGATGAGGACGACAACGGATAGCAAATTCTCAGCGGCCCGCAGATATACCGAATAATTGCGATTCGGGTGGGCGCGCTTTCTTCGAGGAGTTTCAATCCCGACCCGACTGAATTCACGAATTCCTCCCACCTGTATAAACATCGTGCCCTTTGTACCCCCCTGCACATCTGCCTCACAGAAGAGGGGCGCTGGATTCCAACAGCTTCCTCCTGCGACTCCAGCCGAGCTAGCAGCGGTTCCGCTGGCGGCCTAGGGGCCGACGGGGCGGGGCACCACCCGCGCGGGCTGGGCCTGCTCGGTGGAGCGGCTGGGGAGCAACCCCGTCCTGGCGAGATAGAGCCGAGACCGGGCGGGCACCTGAACGCGAGCCGAGCGCCAGCCCCCCGCCTGGAGGCGTGCTGGAGGGCATGCGCGGCGTGCGCACGCCGGAGCGCTGGCAGCTGGGCCCAGGTGCGCCCTGGGAGCGTTCCCTGCTCGCCCCGGCGGGCGCTGGCTTCGGCCCCGCGCCGAAACCCAGTTGGGCAGACGCCTGGCGAGCGCTTCCCCTGGGGAGGAGGCGGCCCGAGGCGGCGCCGGCGTGCGCCCCTCCGGCGCCGCGGCGAGCGCCTTCAGGGCGGCCCGCGGGGACACGGCGGGCGCCGCGGCGAGCGCCCTCGGGGCGGCCCACGACCTGGGGCGGCCCGCGGCGCCACGGCCGGCGCCGCGGCGAGCGCCCCCGGGGCGACCCACGGCGCCACGGCTGGCACCTCCGAGGCGAGCGGCTGGGTGGAACCTGGCGGGCACCGCCAGGGCTGGCAGAGCGCGGCCGCGGCGAGCGCTTCCGGGGAGGAGGCGGCCCGCGGCCCCGCTGGCGCAGGCGCCACGGACGACTCGTGGAGGGCTGGCAGAAGGCCCCAGCGCCGCGCCGGCCGCGGACCCGCCCTGCGGCGACCTGCTCGCTTCTGACGACGGACGCTGAAGGCAAGGGCGAGCTCGACCTCACCCTTGCGCTCGCCAGCGCGGGGCTGCGGGAGGCCACCCGCGCCTGCGTGCGCGAGGGCGGCTGGGCGGTGGCGCGTGAGGTCGCGCCGCTGCAGCAAGTCTCCCTGCGTGGCCTCAGCCTCCGCGAGGCCACCGCGCGGCTCGCGGAGGCCGCCAGGACGTTCGCCGAGCGCGACGCGTTAGCGGCCACCGCGCGCGGGCGCGAGCTGCGGGCCGCCGCCGCGGCCGCGGCCCCCTCTCAGGCCGCCAGGCCTGCCGTGGCGGCCCAGGGCCGCCCGGCGCGGACAGCGCCGCTGCAGGCGGCATGGCGCGGCCGCGCCGCGCCCGGCCGGCGGCCCGCCAGGGCGGCGCTGCGGGCCGCTGCTGGGCTGAGCGGGGCTGCGCCGGGCGCGCGCGCCCCCCGCGGGCCCTCCTCCCTCCCCCCTCCCCGTCCGTTTCCCTCCCCCCCGGGCGCCTTCGTCGCTCGTGTCGTCCGTCGTCCCTGTCGTCGTATCGTGCTGAATCTCTGCGCTCTGCCACTGGGCTCCTACTCGCTAGAAAAAAGTGGCACGCTCTCAGCACAGTTGACTCCGCATTGCAAGTTGGAGCGATCGGAGTTCAGGATGACCCCAACTTATGGCAAGGTAGCGTCCACAGTTCGGGCTGCACTTGTCGATCCACACCCTTCCCGGGCAGGGGGAGCTGGAAGCCGGGAAGAAGGATGGGGGGGAGCGGGAGCTGGGAGGAGGAGGGGGGATGACGGGGATGAGCAGGAGCGGCTGGAGATCGGCAGCAGAAGCGGGACCTGAGGTGGAGCGGGAGGAGGATCGAATAGCTGCTCCGAGCTGGGCGTCACTACGTGCGAAGTCAAACCAAAAAAAACGTCGCGCCCTGGGCACAGTTCTGAGGCAGAGGCCCACGCCAATGCAGGGAAAAACGACGGCTCCAGAAGACGAGGCGGGTTTGAGGTAATTAAGTGGAGCTCGAATGCTCACTTTGGAGAAAGACGAATTATGGCCGACATCGTGTTTTCTCATGAAGAAGTCCCTTCCCAGGGGATCGCACCCTGTTCCCAAAATTCTTGCGCTTTGCGATTATACTTCTCTTACTGGAAGAATTGGATCGGTACGGCGGGGGTTCGGCTGGTGGGCAGTTGGTGCCCGCCCGTGAACGCCTCGTGGCCACCCGTGGCCACCCGTGGGGGCAACGTGGGCGCCGCAGAGCTTGCACCACAAAAATCGCACCACATAGCCTGCGACACATGGCTTGGGCCACACAGCTTGCACCACATGACTTGCACCAAGTACCGGGCACCACATAGCTAGCGCACCACGCATCTTGCCCCACAAAGCTTTCACCACATAGCTCACACCGCATAGGTTGCACCACATGGATTGTACCTCAGACCTTGGGCTTCATAGCTGTCAGCACGCAGTTTAAACAATCCAGCCTGCACCGGATGGCTTGCACCGCATAACTTGTGACACATAGCTACTGGCACGTAGCTTACACCACATAGTTCACACTCTCGTGATGTGTACCAATGTACACAACATAGCTTGCACCACATAGCTTGCGCCACATACCTTGCAACATATACATGTATACATGGATTGCGCAACACGTAGGTTGTACGGCATAGCGGCATTGCTTGCACCACATAGTTTGCACCTCGTAGCTTGCACCACATACCTCGCACCACGTAGATTGCACCACTAGGACCTAGCTGACAACACATAGCTAGCACCACATAGATTGCACAACATGGCTTTCACCGCATAGCTTGCACCACGTGCTTTGCACCACATAACTTGCACCGAATAGCTTGCACCACAACGATTGCACCACGTTTCTTACACCACATAGCTTGCCTCGCGTAGAGTGTACTGCATAACTTAAAGGATACAGCATGCAACACGTAGCGTAGACATCCAACGTGGTACAATTACAAAATGAGTGGTTTGGGCCGGCGCTGGCAAACATGTCGTGTGAAAGTAAGACGTCCGCTCAAACAATCGGGTTTGGTCACCATTCTAAGACTGCTCCCTCCCATCTGCTCGCGTACCATTCAACACGTGTATCCCAGACCCTCGGTGCCCGACCTCTTCGAAGTGGATCGTACCCTCTTGGGGGATAATCTCCCTTACCTGCCGCATGTACTTAGCCCAGCCCCTAAAACAGGGAAGGGGACGGATGGAAGGGGGAGGGAGAAGGATGAAGCACGCGAGACAGGAGGGGGTCCAGGAGCAGAAAGTACATGGCAGAACCAGACCGGCAGATCGAAGAAGTCTCGAGCGATAGCGCGATTCCCAAGTAAATCGTGAGAATAGCGAAAGCGAGAGCGTGATTCCTGAGTGTCGAGGGCGTGGCGTCAGAACAAATTGCGAGTGAATCCGACGGGAGAGCAAAATTCCTGCATGAATTGTCCTAAAGTCCTGCCAGAGCTCGATTTGGAACAACGTGTGAGGAAGCATCAGGCGGGAGCTGTTGTTATGGTAAACTGGCGGCAAACAACAATGACTATTCTTTAGAAATAAGAACTCGAATATCGTTTTCAGACAGTTTGCCCTTCGTTGTTCGCGTATTCTCCAACATGCATGCCCCTAACCCTCTACATTCACCGCCTTCGTACGCGACCGTACCCCATTTGGAGGGTATGTCTCCCTTGCCTGCTACGCGTAGCCGGCGCGTCCTCACACATAGGACGAGGAGGAGATCGTGAAAAAGGGAAACAGCGAGTAAGGGAAGAGAGAACGAAAAGGGTGGGGGGGCAAGAGGGAGGGAGGAGGATATGGAAGAAATTAATTTAGCAGGAGGGGGAGGAGAGAAGAGCAGGCAGATTGGCAAGCGGACCCTAACAAGCGGGCTGGGCGGGCAGACCTCACGGGCAGGCCGGACAGGCGGACACTCACAGACTGGTTGGACGGGGCATCGACGCGGACCTTCAAGATGATATGATCATGCTGTTTGGTGCTCTTCGATCTTTACCTTGTGCTGACCCCTGGTGCGAGGCGGGAATTGATCCATCACAACCGCCCTGGGGATCGATCTTCGGGGGACTCGGCAGATGGTGGATATGGACACGCTGGGCCTCGTTCGGGCCCCTATATTGTATATCCCACCGGCACGCAACACTAGCAGTGCACAGGCGTCCGCCGAGGGCGCACCTTGCCCGCTCGCTAATGGCGCTGTACCTTCATGTGGACCAGCGGCGCCCAGCCCCAACATGTCCACATGCACCGCCTGCCGAGCTTTACGTAGATCCCCCGGGCGGTGGTGATGGAGAAATCTCCGCCTCGGACCTGAGCGCCGCTCCCCCGACCCCCTGGGTCGGGAAACCAACAGGTACCGATACCGCTACTCCACGGACCGCTCCTGGGGTGCGTTCGGACCAGAATTTCGAGGCGAATCCAGCGGTGGCGACGAGGGACGAGGGCCTCCCAGGAGACCTCAAAAGAGAACGAGGGAAAGGGTAGGGGTACCGTTTCCTCCTCTGAGACCCCCTGGGGGCCTTGTGCCCGCAGCGCGGGGCGTCTGCATCGCCGAGGACCGCCTCGACCGGGGCGGCATCCTGCGAGCCGCAAGCGGGGGGGTGCTGCAGCCCGCGGCTCCACCCTCGCGAGGCCCAGCGCGTGCCGCCCGGCCGCGGCCAGAGAAGGCTGGACGAGCGTAAACTTCAGAAGATCCGGGCAGATCTCTTCGAGCGGCGCTGGACCACCCTCGGGGGGAACGAAGGGGGGGGATAGCAGAGGGTAGGGTAGAGAATCAGCTCACGTAACTGATTTTCCCAGCGCCTCCTGGCGCCGGGAGGCGCCCATGTATACATCGAGGAATGGGCCCGGCGGCGGGGCCGAAACCAGCTGCATGCAGCAAATTTCGCACCCCCCCTTTCCCTATCCATCCCTTTCGTTCGGCCCGACACCCTCCGTGGCGCGCGGAACGCGCCAGGGGGGCCCAGCACCGATTCAGGAAATCCGCGCGGCGCTTTCGAAGTTCCGAATCAATGCTTGCACTGAAGGGGTCCTCGCGGAAATGGAAGAATTTGAAGAAAGTCCCGGGCCGATTTCGGTGGGCGGCTGATTTCCCGGGGTTCCCGGTTCCCACTTCCCCGATTCCCTGTTCGGGGTTCTGGGCCGATTTCGGTGACCGGCTGAATTCCTGGGTTCCCTGTTCCTGGTTCTGATGTTCCCGGTAATGTAAAGTCGGCTGGGTTCCCGGGTTCCCGCCTCCAGGGTTCCCGGCAATTGGCTGGACTCCTGGGTTCCTGCTTCGGTGGGCGGCTGGGTTCCTGTGCTCGCGTTTCCCGATTCGACAGGTGGGTTTCCAGTTTCCCCGTTGCCGTTTCTGGATTCCTGGCAGCATCAGTTTCTGGGGGTCTCGATGTCTTGGTTGTGGCCAACCACATGGTTTTTGATAGAAAGTACAAGGGTCAGAGAGTTGCGAGCAGGGTTGACCAGAAGAATTCGAGAGACAGAGAGAGAGAGAGAGAGAATGTGCGACCAATTGAAAGGTCAAGTGAGAGGGTATACAACAAATCCAGAGGTTGTATATCAGAGAGCATAAGGCGAAACTTGGTATGAAGAGCGGAGAGGAGATCTAAACATCGATATACATATATGAATATATACATATATGTATATGCTGAAAGAGAGAGAGAGAGAGAGAGAGGATATCAACTCATCAATTAACGAAACAACACATGGAGTTCCAAGCATTGTCGCATGCACTCCACGCCTGCCGTCTCCTTCTCTCTCCCTCTCTCTCTGTCTCACTCTTTCGCGTTGTCTCTGCTGTTTAGATGTTACGTACAGATCATCTACAGTGTCACGGCATGTCCTCACACCGCGCTCTGCACTCCATTGTTCCAGACCCACCCTCGACTATATTTATATACACGCCACGCACACGATGCACCAAAGATGGTTATAAATGATTCGGCGTGCAATCATTTATATATATAGATGGATACACATATGTTCAATGAGTGTATCTCTCTCTCTCTCTGTCTGTGTTGTAATCTCTCTCTTCCTCTCTCTCTCTCTGTTTTCTCCGTGTATCCAGCTTCGCCCTATGCTCACTGATACGTACTCTCTACATGTACTATGTACCCTCTCACTCTGACCCCCGATCCATCCTTCAACATTACATCTTACAGTGGTCTCACATGTTATCTGTCTATCTGTCTCTCTCTTTCTCTCTCTCTCTGTCTGTTTCTTTTTTTTGCTCTCTCTCTCTCTCTCTCTCTCTGTATACAAATGTATATAATCCATCGTCCCGACTCTGCTCACAAGTCTCTGACCGCTCTCTCTAAGATCAAAGGCCCAGGCGCTTAGCCACAACCAACATTTAAAACCCCAAATCGTTACGCTGCCAAGAATCCAAAAAAGGAAACCAAGAAACCAATACCCACTAGTTTTTGCTGGGGACCCCATAATCGGGAACTGGGAACACGGGCACCCAGCCGCCCACCGAACTGGGAACCGGGGAACCCAGCCAACCTTACAGGAACTGGGACCCTCGGAACCCAGCGGCCAACTGACCTCACGTTGCCGGGAACCGAAAACCCAGGAATCCGACCACCCACTCAAATCTATCCAGAACCCAGAACTGGGACCGGGAACTCGGAAACTTAGCCGCCCACCAAAATCGGCCCGGGACTTTGTCTAAATCCTTCAATCTCCGCGAGGACCTCTTCAGTGAGTGCACTGACTGGAGAGAGAAAGAGAGAGAGAGAGAGAGACACACACAAACACGGAACTCATGTACGGATACATATTTTAATACATATGTATATGTGTGTATGTACACGATGGTGGGTCGGGGACAATGGAGTGCAGAGCGAGGTGTGAGGGCAGATCAAGTAACCAGAGACCAGATGCATGTACAAATGCACAACAGAGAGAGAGACAGAGAGAAAGAGTGACAGAGTGAGACAGAGAGAGCGAGAGAGAAGACAAAAACGGAGAGGGCAGGCGCTGAGTCCACGCGCAAATTCCAGGAGATCTGCGGACTGTGCATTTTCTCTGCTGTACCCCCATTCTGGCCCTCGAGCACAGTCGAAACGTGCCCACAAGAACGTGGCACAAGAACGCGAGCCCCTTCGCCGAGGGCCCAGCCCCCCACGGCGCTGCCCCGACTGAGAAGACCAGGACCGCACTTGACCCGCGCACCGGCTGCATCACGCAGGCGCGGCCCCGCGGCGGCGGGAAGGGTGAGACGGCGACGAGGGCAGAGGAACAAACGTAGCACAAACGTAGAGCTTCCGAGGTCCGAAAACATGTGTTTACGCTGGTGACTGTGCGGGGCAACAGTAGAGGGAGACCAGCCCAGGAAGGAAGCACCGACCTGGAATCGGCGATACATCGCGGTTAGAGCGGCGATCGGGCCCGATACTTAGCGACTCCGCACGCTCCTGTGCGGGCCGAGCTATCGGGCCCCTATCGGCCATGCATGGGCGAATTGGGCCGATGCATCCCCCATCAGAGACTATCCACTCTTAACGGTGCCCCTGATCCTCGCCCTTCCCCCCTGGTGGTGCTCCCCGGGCGGCCCGACGCCTCCCTGAACCTCCCCAAACTTTCCTCATCGATTCGAGGACGGCCCAGGACGGCTACAGAGGTGGCCCAACATTGCATCCAGGGGCACCACGCAGCCCCCAAAAAGAACCCAAGGGGCACAAAAGGGACCTTCGGAGGCTCCAGTCGGTCTAGACCTTGGGCAGCCAGAAGAGGGCCTCAGCACAACGGGCCCAGCAGCCCAAGAGGGCCCCAAGAGACCGAGACCGCTGAGAAACTCCCCAGACGGCCGAGAAGGGCCAGAGAGGGCCGCACGACGGCCCGAGAGGATCCCAAGATCCCAAGACGGTCCCGCGAGAGCCCAAGACAGCCCCGCCCAAGTAGGTCCTGGGAGAGGCTCACACAGAATTGGAACGAGGTGAATCCCCTGTTGCGACACTCTGCCCATTGTTCCCAGCATCGACATGCAGAGGGCTGCGCTGTCACGGCTGCGGTATTTGCCGCAGGCAACTGAATAACACAACCAGCCAAGAGAAGCCGCCCTGCGCCAAACTACATCCTAAGGGGGGAGCTTGGTGATCCAGTACCATGAAATGAAGCATCATACTCAGCATAAGCTGTGGTTTCGTAAAGGGCGCCGTTGTGATGCTAGCTAGCTCTCAGCAACTCAGTCATGTGTCATGTGCACCCCTCAGATTACTTCCACCTGAGCGAAGAAGCTGGATCGTATCTCCCGAGGTTGGGGGTTAGGGCTGAAGGATCAACGTACAAAACGTTGCGGTGCCACCGTGTGCAAATTCGCCCGCCCAACGGGCCACAGGCGTTCTAGAATCTCTGGCAAGAGGTTTACAATATGTTTTCTGTGCGAGCGAGGGGCGGCCCCTGGGGATCCCTGGGCGATAACACAACAACTCAAAAACTGACTGCTCCCGCCCTGTATGCCACATGGGCGGTCTTCCGACCGTCATGGATCGCCACAGGAGCGCCCCAAGGGACCCCAAGGGGGCTCCAAGATGGTTGGGCAGGAAATTTGGGTGGGTGGCCCCAAGATGGCCCGAAGACAACCCCTAGAACTTCTCAAGATAATTCAAAGATGGTCCAAGACAGCCCCAAGGGAACCCCAAAGGTTCCATGTCATCTGTTTCCCCAGAAGATTCTGAAAGATTTTGCAGTCGCTGCCTTTTCGCGCTTCCGAATGCCGCAGACAGCCCAAGCGACGTCAAGGTCAGACCGGGACCGCCCAAGAGGCTCCCATGACGGGCCGAACAGTGTCCAAGGAGGCCCCAAAGTCGACACAGGAGACCCCCCGACAGAGCTCCGGAGGATTCCAGGAGGCCCTCAAGGCAGGAAATCCGAGTGCACATGTTGGGCCCTTCTCCAAAAATGTCCTTCCGTGAGTGCCAATGGCTCCCAGGAGGCTCCCAGAGGCCCCCGAACCCCCTCACAAAAGCTCCAAGAGTCCCCAAGATGCCCCGAAGAGGCCCCACAACGCTCCAAATAGCCCCCGCGAGCACGCAGGCAAGTGCCAACGATGCTGCAAATATAAGCCGCCGGAATGAGCGAAGCAATTTAATTCGGCGTTTCCCCTGCAGGCCCTCACCGTGTGAGCCGTCGACGCAAAAAGAGGAACATCCTGGGACAGATGATACGATGTGTGTGTATATATATATACATATACATATACATATACATAAATACGCGATCGGCGTTCCAAGGGCCACAGAATCATCGATTCGGCACACCCGCACTTCCTGTCGACACTCTACAAGTGATCGCACAAGAAAAAACCCAAGAGGACCCCCATATTCCCCGAAAGCGTCACAAGGGGGCTTCCAGAGGCGACTTCGAAGGCTCTCTCCTCGTCATCGGTGTCCTCCTCCTCCTCCTCCTCCTCCCCCTCCTCCTCCTCCTCCTCCTCCACCTCCTCGTCCTCGCCCTCCTCCTCCGCGTCCTCGCCCTCGCCCTTGCATCGTCGTCTTCCTTTCCCTGTTCGTCTTCTGCCTCGTCGTCGCGGTCGTCGTCCTCCTCCCCCTCCTCCTCCTCCTCCTCCTACTCCTCCTCCTCCTCCTCGTCCTCGCCCTCCTCCTCCGCGTCCTCGCCCTTGCATCGTCGTCTTCCTTTCCCTGTTCCTCTTCTGCCTCGTCGTCGCGGTCGTCGTCCTCCCCCCCTCCTCCTCCTCCTCGTCGTCCTCCTCCTCCTCCTCCTCGTCCTCCTCCTCCCCCTCCTCCTCTTAATCCTCCCGCCCTCGCCCCCGCGCGGATCCCCAGGGGTTGTCCCGGAGAGGCCCTCCAAAGCCATCCCCATTGCTCCCGGTGATTTCGCTCACCGTGGTTGCCCGCTATGTGTCGCCGCATGTGTCTCTTCGCCCTTTTCCCGTCAACTCTCGTGGGCTGGGTTGGTGATTGGGATGGTGGGGATACTTTTTGTTCGCAAGCGATACGGACGTGCCGCACGCCGTCAAGGCACTGCGAACAAGCAACGGCCTAAATTAGCGCAAAGGAAAAAGACGAACGAAGCGAGAGAAAGAGAAAGACGGCGGAAGAGACCAGCAGCGGGCGAACCTCACTGCCGCTCAGAAGAGCGCCAGCACCAGGACGAACTCCTGGGCGTCTTGCAGCACAACGCGGTATTTGGAGTCCTCGACCCAGCACAGGAGGAGCATGACGTGCAAGCGCTCGACGTAAAATCCGGACCGCCGGTCACCATGGTGTGGGAGTCGACGGGGGGAAACGCGAAGAGCCGACGAAAGCCATGGCTTTTGGACATGAGCAGGCCCCGGGGGGGGCAACGAGGGGGAGGACCGGGTGTCCGTCAACCCCGAGCGGAAAAAAGGCGGCAAGCGAACCGCGGGCCAGAGCAAAGGAGAACCCCCGAGATACGGGGGACGCCAGCGAGGGACCTCTGGCGCGGCCAAGGTAGCCACGAAAAGGGAGAGGCCAGCAGACCTGCGTCCCGTGTCGGGGGCGTTTCCCAGCGTCCTCATGCGCAAGCTGGGGCGGCGGGGACAGCCGCAGGCCAGGAGAGACCGCGAGGTGTGGAAAACCTGGCAGCGAAGACAACCCCAAGCGCGACGGCCCGAGGGGGTTCCCCTGCGGCTCGCACGCTGAGCCAATGCCGCCGCGACGCCGGCCGCGGTGCCGCAAGTCGCCGCCGCCGCCAGAGGGGGAGCCGGCTGCGGCGGCAGCAGCGGGGCCGATGGTGGCGGCGGCGGCAGCGGCGGCGGCCGCGGTGAGGCGCGGCGCGACGGCGAGGGAAGCGGCACGCGCGGCGCCAGCCGCGGCCGCGGTGCCACGGCGCGACCGGCGCGGCGGAGCCCACCGCGACGGAGGTGCCGGCGGCGCGCGCGGAAAGCGAGGTGGCCAGCGGCGCCCAGCCGCGCGCGGCAATGGAGCCACCGCGGCGGCGGCAGTCGTCACGTCGGGCGAGCGCCGGCGGCGCAGGCGGCGGCCGAGGCATCGAGGAGGCCAGCGGCACCGGGAGCCGCGTCGGAACGGCCCAAAGCCACACCGATAGCGGAACTCGGCGGCTGGGCTGGCGCCGTGTGTAGCGACACGGCGGTGGGACCCTGCAGGCGCCTCGGCGGTCTCGTGACAGAAACAACGGAAAGGGGGCCAGGGGACCTCGGTGCAGCGCCTAAGGCGGGTGCAGGGGGGGGGCGACATGGTGCCAAGGGGCGCGGGGTCGCAAGCAGCCCGTAGCGAGGGCAAGCTGGGGTCCAGAGGAGAACTGGCGCCCCCAGCTGGGTGCTCGCTGGGCGGTATTGGGCGCTACGCCAGGGCGGCCAACAGGGTGGCCGCCAGCTGGGTGGGGGGAGACGTGTGAGTGGAAAGCGACTAACGGTCGCTGACTGTGTCTGGTGAAGAGAATGGAAGCGACTAACGGTCGCAATAGACGTTGAGCGGAGAGTGCCGGGGGATGGGGCGGTGGGCGCGACTAACGGTCGCCAAGTGTGTGAGCAGAGCAGAGACAAAAAGGGGAGATCAGCGTTACTGGTCGGGGGCGGTTTCCGTCGGACTCTCACGCTGGAGTGGAGCCACGACGCCTATGCCCGTCTGGCAGCCAACGGCTTGGGAAAGTCGGAGCACTGCCGGCGGAGGGAGGGTCCAAGTGCGCGAGCGGCCCTGGCGACTTAGGACGCGCCGTGGAGAATGTCGCTGCAGTGTCGTATATGGCAATATAGTGTTCTCCCCGCCGGGGCGGGGAGGACTCCAGGGACCCCGGGGCGGCGCCTAAGGCGGGCCGAGGGGGGCGGCACAACGCCAGGGGGCGGAGGACCGCAAAGGGTGGCCCCCAGGAGAAAGGGCCTCCTAGGAGCCAGGGGCGAGCCAGCATCCCCAGCTGGGCGCGTCCGAGGTGGTAAAGCCAGAGTGGCCCAACGGGGGGCCTCCCGCGGGATTGCCGCAGGAGGTGGGTAGGCGAGTCGGGAGACGCCCAGGCCCGAATTCGTCGTTAGGTGGCTCACAGGAGCTGGCGCCCGCTGGGAAGAAGTAGCGACGGCAGTGTAAGAAGGCAGGCAACCCCGTAGGGGCAACAGGTAGCGTGCCCGGGGCACCGACAAAGCCTGGCGCGCACAAAGTCTGCATGCAATTCCGCCTGGCGACGTCCAGATCACTGGATCGAAACGGTATGCACGGGCCAGCCTCGGGGTCGGGAGCCCGACGAAAACTCGGACGCCTGAGCGAGCGGGACGCGCGTACGCTCGCCCTTCCCCACGTCCAGGAAAGAAGACAGCGGAGAGATGGAAGCATCATCATCATCATCATCATCATCATCATCATCATCATCAGCAGCAGCAGCAGCAGCAGCAGCAGCATCAGTATCATCATCAGCATCATTATCAGCATCATCATCACTACCATCACCACCACCATCATCAGCAGCAGCAACATCGTCCATCACATCCTTCCTCCGCCTCCGCCTCCTAGTATCCCTCAAGATCGACCCTTGAGCGCATGTTGACGATTACTTCCATTGGAATCCGCACGTTGCGACGAGGGTGGGGCCACCAGGGAGCCCCGCGAGGGTCCTCCACCGCCTCCGCCTCCACCTCATCAATATCCTCCTCCTCCTCCTCCTCACCCTCCCGACCTCCTACCTATCCTCACTCAATCTGGTTCCGTAGCGATAACTCCTCCCTGTCGCACCACCTGACGTGTTGCTAGGGCGGCCCAGGCGCTTGGCATGAGATGTTTCACAGCTTCTAACCTCGAAGCTTGAAACTGCCAACATATACACGGATGTAGCACAGGTCGTTTTCAACATGGGGACTCTCGTCATGGCGTCGCGCATGCTCGTCTGAATCACGCACCACTTGCACGAACGGAGCCAAGGGTAAGTTTTCAACATGCGGATATCGCACTAGCGCCGCACAAGCTCATCTGAACAACGTTCCAACAGCTGCAAGGATGGACACCGGGTGGTTTTCAAGATGAGGCACTTGCCATAGCACCGCGCGCATTCGCCTGAGGCACTTGTAACAGCTCCACGGATGGAGTGCGGTTCGATTTCAAAACGAGGCGCTCGGTCGAACGTTGTCTTGTGTAATGTTCCGATGTTCAGGGTCGTGCATCAACTCTCGCGGATGAAACATGCTTCCTTTCGAAATGTGGCCTTCGCTTCAGAATCCTGGACATGTATGGCAAGAACTTCGAAAGTGTGAATGGTTTCACGGATGGAGGGTAGATCCGTTTCAAAACGGAGATACCGCTGGACAATTGCTTGAGCTGTACGACCTGCCACCTTTGATGTCGTAAAGCTGGTGGGATGAAGGCGGACACTTGACATCGAGGGGTCTCGCCTGAATAGCAGGCCCACTGGCCGTTCGTCTGTCCAGGGGAGCGCTTCCCACAGTGGAAAGGAATCCATGTAGGGCATATCAGCTTATGGCGACGGGGGCTTCGGACGGGAGGGTGTCTTGCAGCATCGTTGATGCAGATTGGATTTACTGCGGTCGCCCTCGTCATGATCAAAAATCTTATAATCGTCATCATCGACGTCGTCGCCATCATGATTACCACCACTTCCCGACACCACCACCACCACCATCATCATCATTATCATTATCATCATCATCAGGGACACGATCACCATCATCACTGTCACTATAACCACCATCATCATCACCACCATTGTAAATCGTCATCGCCATCATAACCGCCACCATCACAGTATTCATCACCACCGCCACCACCACCACACCATCACCATCATCACCATCACCCTGCACATGGGAAATCGAGCCACTACCGACACCGCCACTCCGATGAAATCCTCGGAAACCCAAAAAAGACCTCACCGCGCGGTCCATCACCACGCGGTCTCGGGACCCAGGCGGCCCCAGACGCCCGAGAGGTCTTCGGAGAACGGCCCGAGTCCCAGAACCGCGTGGTGCACCCGAACCCAAGCTGGATCACAACGCGGTCTGGTCACCACACCCTTTGGGGGCCCGCCTGGACCTGGCTCGCTATCGCTCGGGCGTCCATTCCCCGTGCAGGTTCCAGTCTCGTGCGTGAATGATTCCGAACGACGATCCAAGATGCCCCTCGGTGGCCCTCGCCAAGAGAACAATGCACACGTCCGACCCGTGCCCAGAGCAGTCCCCGGGCCTCCTCGAGCAACTCGCTCTCGCCGCCGCCGTCCTCCTCTGGGGCGCGCGGGGATCGGGCCGCGCGCCGCGCGTCGGGCGATCGCTCTTGCAGCGCACGGATAGGATCAGGTAACAGATTAGATAAGCCATTGTGGAGCTCCAATCAGTGGAAACTGAAATTGAAAACTGATTGAGCCCAACAGTGAATTGAAAGTGTAAATCCTGGACCCCCGGGACAAACATATCAAAAATTGCATTTCGAATCTGGGACTGTCCAAATTCAAACATTGAGCATCGAAAATGTTGATCCGAACGTCCCCGAAGTGAACCATTGTATTAAAACTTGCTTGCTGTTTTTCCATGTTTCAAGTTCCCAATGCTGAAGCAATGGCACTGCGAATTAAACTATTGGAAAAGTATGTTTTTGTTTTCACATTTCGATCCTCAATCTGGCGCTCTGAGGCGCCGCAGTTTGCAGCTCCCGAGGGCTACAGCGCGGCGGGCGCTGAGAAGAGAGCGCTCCCTCGGGCTGGCCGAAAGAGCGCAGAAACGACAGAAGAAAAGACAAACACATCGATGTGTTCCAAATGGGGGCCGGGTACCTTGCACACACCTTCAGGAGTTGGGGGGGGCAGACCAACACATCGTCTAATCGTCACACATGGGGTCTGTGGAAAACTTGATGTTTTCGTGGCCGACCACTGAACAAGTTGTTGTTCAACGAACGGAGCCACTGAAAAGCTGTTTCAGCGACAAAGAGGCCACTGAAAAGTTGTCTTCGTCATCAACAACAGGCCACTGACAAAAAAACACATGTTTGGGCTACGGGAAGCGGCAAAATGATGGTTTGTGAAGTTCGGCGGCCCGTCTGGAGTGAAAATACACTCCCCAGTGGCCCACACTCGCTGATAAAATTGTTCATTCGCACCCCGTTCGCTGGAAAACACATGTTATGTGGACCGCTGCTCGCTGAAAAAGACTGTTGTTCAATGGTCCGTGTTCTATGCGCAACAATCAATACCCGTTTCGCGAGCAGGGCGACGGAGCATGCCAGACGATTCGTGGCGTCGATGTTGCCTCCGCTTGCCCCGCCAACTCAAGAGGGACAAGGGGGAAAACATTCATACTAGACAAATAATACTAGAGGAAGGGGACAAGGAGGAAGGACGGAAAACAAATTGGGGAAGAGACGCGTACGGGGCGAATCCTCTTTGGCGCGCCCGAAGCTTTCTGGGGAACCGTGCAAGGTTCTAGGATCCCGCGGCGGGATCACCGGCCCAGACCTCAGGCGCGACGTATGTCGATGTCCAAAGCGCGGCCCCAAAGCTCTCGACACTCTGCCCGGGGAAAGTCTCAAAATCGGCGGAGCACCACTGCAGTCGCGAGAGGGAAGGAGCAAGAGGAGGGGAGGAAGCACAACTGGAACACGAGTGCGCAGAAGCGTCACTGGAATGACAAGAGGGGGCGCGCACGAGGAGGTAGGAGCACCGATGGGGCACGAGGAGAGAGGGAACACCACCAGTGGAACCGCGGGAGGGAGGAGGCACGAGGAGGGAGGGAGCACCACATAAATCGCGAGAGGAAGGACGCACGAGTAGGGAGGGAACACCACTGGAATCGAAAAGGGGCGTGAGCACGAGGAGGGAGGGAGCACCACTGGAATCGCGAGACTGGAGAGGCACGGGGGATGAGAGACGGCACGGGGAGGAAGGGAACACCACAATAATCGCAAGAAGAAGGGGGCACGAGGGGGGAGAGGGCACCACAATAATTGCGAGTGAGAGAGCACGAGGAAGAAGGAGTACCTCCGGAGCACGAGGAGGGAAATAGAACCACTGGAACCGCGAGACGGGGGGGCGGGGGCGAGGAGAGAGGTAGCACCACTGGAATCGCGAGAGAAGGAGCACCACTGAATCGCCAGAAAGCGGGAAAACGAGAAGGGAGGGAGCACCACTGAAGCAAAAGAGGGCAAGGAGCACCACTGGAACCGCGAGAAGGAGGGAACACGAGGACGGAGGAACACAACTGGAGCGTTGATCGCGTGAGTTGGCCACAGCCCACCCGGCCACGCTCGAAAGAACCCTGCGCCCACGAGATCCGCGTCGGCTGATCAAATACAATGCCGCTCTACACTTGAATGCTCCACCCGCCCCACTCGTCCGCTCCACCCGGCCACGCATCAAATTGCTCTACATTTCAATGTCCCGCCCGCCCGACCCGCCTCGTTCGTTGGACCCGCTCCACCCGGCCACGCTCGAAAACGCTTGTTCATCGAACATCCCGCCCGCCCGATCCGCCTCGTTCGGTGAACCCGCTCGGCAAGGCTGCGCTCGAGATAGCCCTGCGCCTTCCTGTTGCGCCCGCCTGGTCCGTACTGCCCTTTTGGCCCTGCTTCACGGGAGCCCCGGACTTTCATGTCCCGCCCGCCTGACTCGCCCTGGCCCGTTCGCTCCACCTCGCCCGACCGCGCCCGAGAGAAACCCGACGCGACAATATACTGTTCCGCGAGCCCGACCCGTATCGTCAGTGAACTGCGCGCCGCCTGTCCGCACGCGATAAAAATCATGCACTTCAGTGCCCGCCAGCCCGACCCGTTTCGCCGTTAGGCGTGCCTAAAAAGAACTACGTATTCCAATGCCCCTCTCGCCAAACACGCTGTCCCCTGACCCGGTCCAAAGTAACACATGCAGTCGGAGTGCGCCAGGATTGACAATCGAAGCGCTACAAATATTAAGCCAGATCCCATCGGATTGGAACATTGAAACATTGAACATAGGCGTTAACGCCGCAGCGCGGATGGCCGAAGCCAATGGTCAAATAATGCATTGGATTCTAAAGATGGATCGCCCTACTGCGACCCACGTTGGACGTTGAACTGATTTGCTGATCACGTCTGGTCGTACTTATCAAATAAGATCCGCGCGCAGAAATGCGAGGCCGATGTGATTGCCTTCCGTAAACCCAATGCGCAATGCCACACTGTCTGCTGGAAAGCACATGCCTTCTCTTGGATGCACGACGCAGTAAACAATGGATCATTCGCACAAATTGCACGCGGCAGTGCAATGCGACGCCCGCGCCAGTTTGCTCGCCCCCCTCAATGATGGGCGTCGGCGCCCCACTGAGGCCCACCTCGGCCAGACCGCGGCGCGGCGCGCCCGGCCCCGGTGCCGCGCGGAGCGCCGGGGTGCAAGACTCCCCGCGAAAAGCGTGGTGGGCGCGAAGAAAACAGCAGCCTCCCCGCAGCGCCGCCGCGACGGTCGGCGTTGCGAGGAGGGGAAGCCAACGCAAGGGCGCGCGCCCCTCCACGGCCGCGCGGCACGCGGCGGCGGGCCGCGCAGCACGGCGCAGCGCGCGGCCCGCGAACCCGCCCCCCTCGAACCTGCGACCGCCCGCAAGGAATCCGCGAACCCTCCGAGCTCCAGAGAACTTGATGGCAGGCAGAGGCCCGGTCAAACCAAAAGGTTGGCCCGTGAACGGGCGGGGCGCGATGTGGAAAATGAGAGCAGTGCGACCTGCATGCATGATGCGAAAGACGCGCAAGACGAGCGAGCGAGCTTTGCGCCACTGCGCAGAGGGAGGGGGAGAGGGAAGGGGACGGGAGGTAGAGGGGGAGGAGGGAGAGAAAACAGGCCCGTCCTTACGCCTGCAAGCAGTACTCCACGAACGCGTCCTCGTCCTCTTCTGAAATGCTTGGAGTCCAATGAGATGTTGTGTTCAGAATGTTACGCGAGAAGGGCGACAGCCGGTCGTCCCATCTTGCTGGCGGGCGCCCCCGTGGCCTCGAGGCTCCACGCGCGCTCGCCGGTCTCCATGCGATAACGGCATGAACCCAATCAACTACTGAACCGATCGATTTCAAGGCAAGTTTGAATAAACGGCGACAAAACAGAGCGCTCCATCCGTCCATTGGAAAGTGGACCAAAGCATCGCTGACTCTGTTCCTCATGCGTCGCATGGCGTCGGCCCCACTCTTCTCCGTCGACTCTTCCCCATCCAACAATTAAGCGAAACATTTGATTCTGAATGACATCCAAAGACTCCAGCTGTTGCTTTGTCAGAGGCAGACATGCCAGCCCAAAGAAAAGAGTCGACGTAACCGCAGAATGAAACAATTTGAGTCGTAAGCGAATTGGCGCATTTTGGTATGTGAGTGCGTGACGATGTTCATGAAATTGTTGCCAAGTTCGTCGAAATCGTTGTCTTAGTTCAACTGTGGTGCGGTCCCCCGAGTTCGCCGGCAACGTCTTCCCAATGTACTTGTGAGTGTCCATGTCGCTCATGACCTTCAGCATGTTGTTCTCGACCTCGATAAACATGGCTCCGGCCGTCTCCTCGGCAGTGACAACCTTCGTCTTGTCAGGGTCCAGGTGCAAACCAACGGCTGCCAACTCCTCCATCAGCAGTTCCAACATGTTCTCCAAATCGTCTGCCGACTGCGCGTACAGCATGATGTCCTCTGCGTATCTAACATTTGTGAGCAGCCGCCCACTCCCCAGAGGGACACCAGCATCCCCGACCCGCTGTTTCCATCTTGCCATCGTCATTTCCATCCCAGCATTGAACAATATTGGGCGGATGACGTCTCCCTGTTTGACTCCTCGTTGCATTGGAAACGGCTGCGCACCGGCTACGTGACCCGTCTGATTGGAGTACAACGACAGAGCGACGCGGTCGGCATCCACGCCTTGGCCACACCAGGCTCGGAACAAGGAAGCACATTCAAACCGGTCGAAGGCTTTGCGCAGGTCGAGACTGGCGCACCAGAGCGGCAGGCGCGATTCGAAACATTGGCTGCAAACAACTTCACAGACTAAGAAGGCGTCTTCTACCGAATGCTTCTTCCTGAGGCCAACCTGATCCGGCCCCTGTAAATTTCCCAGGACGCCCCGCAGCCGGTGGCATAGCATCCGAGAGAATACTCTGTAGGTCATCTTGAGGACAGCGATCGGCCTCCAATTCGTCGGCTGCGACAGGCCCCTGGTCTTGAACATCATGAACAGAGTATCCTTCCATGAATATTCCAGGGGTCCCGCGCGCACCATATCGTTATGCATGTGTAGCAGGTAGTCCAGGAAAGTGCTGGAAACGTGCTTGAACATTTCTGCAACGACGCCGTCCGTGTCGGCGCCTCTGCTGTTGTTCAACACCTTGACTGCTTTGTCAAGCTCTGCCTTCGTAAACGCCGGAACGTTGAAGGGCCCTCGATGGTCCGATTGTTCCTCGGGCACTTCTTCCGGGGGAAAATATGTCAGCCAGAAATCCTGCTAACGCTTCAAGGGCGCATTTTGCGCCATCCAATTCCTTCCGCCTCCGCGCCGGAAACAGTTTCGCTTCTGCCAGTCGGTGTAGGTCACGGAACTCAGCCAAGATATGTTGGGTGCGCATCGCCTTCCGTCTCCGGAGTTCGGCTCGCGCTGTCCTGCGAACTCGCGTCGAGATGTCTCTCCTGCCTGCAGATCCGCTGGGGAGAGCACGACGCTGGCGGGAAAGATCTTGGAAAGCACTGTCGGTCCAGAAGGCCGGCTGATCGCTCGTACGTTTGTCATGCCCCGGCGCAACGATGGCCACGCAGATATCCATATCGGGAAGGCACGTCGGCGGATGCGCACGCAAGTATGCATCCGCGTCGCGACAGCACGCGCTATCATCGACAGGCCCCCAACCTCGAGGGCCAAACCTGTTTCTGCGCCTCCGTTCAGCAGTTTTGGCGCGCATGCGTGCGTATACAGCCCGATGGTCGGAGCCCAAACACAAAGAATCGACTGCTGCACTGTGCTCCACCCTCGCCGTGCGAGGAAGCAAAATAAAATCCGCGCATATTGTAACGCCCGTGCTTGACCTGAACGTCCACAAGTCTTCGCATTGAAGCCTTCGCGGGTAATTCGTAATTTGAAAGCCGTAAACTCGCTCGGTCTCTGACCACGGGGCCCAACGTTGAACTGAGAGTTCCAATCCCCCCCAATCACAATGCAGCTGTTCTTGTTCTGCCTTCGGGGCGCGCGCGTCGCGCCGTCGAGGTCGTCGTAAAAAGAATCGAAAGCATCCTGGGCACATCCAGCATGCGGAACATATACTGCGAATCATGCGTACAAATGAATGTGCATCAGAATGTCGATGCCAAGAACATGATCGCCGCATGTACGGATGTCCTCGATGTTGGGGACGTGGCGCTCGCGCGCTAAGATGCCGACGCCTGCAGCGGCATGCCCCCCCAGATCGAGAAAAAGCTGGTGGCCGCCTTCTAGTATTACTTCAGATGATGGTGCCCGTGTCTCGCTAAACAAAAACCATATCCCACTGTGCGTCTACAAACTCTGATGACAATTATGTCAGTTGTGCGTTCGTCCTTAATCTGGCATTTTTGGTGTAAATGTGAACTTCCCCTGTCAAGGTAGGGGGTGGAACATGGTTTGACCGGTGCTGCCCCGACCCCTGCCTTGCAGGTTTTCCTTTTCCCTTGCCCTTGTCCACAGCCTGCTGCAACGACTTCTGGCATTTGCCGAACAAGAACTTGATGGGCCAACCACAAATTGCGCGCAGCGCTGCAAGGCGCCACCCGCATCGGGGCGCCCGCGCGCACGCGAACTTCGGGGCGCCCGCGCCCACGGCGTTGGGCGCCCTCCTGCGCCCCCCCCCCCCCCCCTGGCCAGACCGCGCCGCGCGTCGCGCCCGACCTGGGCGCCGCGCGGAGCGCGAGGGTGCAAGACTCCCAGTGCCAAAAAAACACCCCAGAGCTGCGACCGGCACTCGCAAGGCGCGCCCGAACCTCTGCGCCAGCGGGCCGCGCTGCGCGTGAAGCCGCTCCGGCAACGCCTGCGCTTCGTCGCCCGACGACTCGGCACCGTGGGCCGAGATCACGGCGTCGCGCGCCGATGCGCGCATGCCTAATTATGAATGGAGAGCCGCGGGCCTCGGGCGCGCGCCGCGCGCGCGCGAACGGGGGGCAGCGCCGCGCCTCCACCCCCCAGCGGGAAGAGTCTCCGCCAGGGCGCAACCTGAAGCCCTGCTAATTTCCTGAATCGCGCGCCGCCCGTCCGCGCCCCGGGTCGGGCACCGCGCGCGCGGGGCCACTCGCCTAGGCAAGGCCCCCGCGAAAATTGCACGCGCGATTGCAGCCGCGCCAGACGCGCCCAGCGCGCGGAGCGCACTGCGCAGCGTGCCGAAGGACAGCGCGGGCGCGATCCCCCGGAATAGATGTTCGCCCTGCCGGCGCCCGGCCAGCCAACGCCCCGCTGCGTGGGCCGGGCAGGTGGACGGGGGGCGCGCGCACCAGCACTTGCTCGTGAGGAGACTTCCTTGCCTTCTGTTATCACGCTGCCGCAGCTGCAGAGCCCATCCCCTCGCTGATCTACTCCAGCCTGCCAAGCAGGCGGGCGCCCGCTGCCCCCCGCGCGCGCGCGCGGTCGACGCCCCCGAGGGCACGCGCAGCAGAAACGCATGCGATAGGAGCCACAGCAGCACCCACGCGTACCCCGCGGGGCCCTCGCCTGCCCCCGCGACCGTAATCTCGAGGAGCGGTATCCTCGCTTGGCGATTGCCGCCTTTGCGCGCTTGACGGCTGGATGGCCGAAGACCATGACATCTGCACCGGCTAGCAAACCGGCTAGCAAACTTCCCCAGCGAACGTGTGCTGTGAAATTGGCGAAATTGCCTGGGCATCTGAAGGTCAAGGTCCACGATGCCAATCCCCCAGCGGTCGGGCGCAGGACCTGGCCAGGCCGGGGGCCTTGGATCGCGCCAGCGCGCGCGCACCAGCAGCGCAGGCCAGACTGCACGCTCGCTATGCTGCCCGGGCAGCTGCCCAAAAAGGCGGACGTCCACGCGGCGCGCACCCAGCCCTCTCTGTCGCCCGCGGAACGCAATGCCGCCCGCAACGCCCCCGCGGCGAAAACAGCAGACTCCCCGAAGCGCCGCCGCGACGTTCGGCGCTGCGAGGAGGGGAAGCCCGCGCGCGGGCGCGCGCCCCCCCCACGGCCGCCCTTGACGGCCGCACCCCGTCGCGCGCGGCGTGTGGCGGCGGGCCACGCGGCCTGGCACAGTGCGCGACCCGCGAACGCGCCCCCGCACGAGTGTGTGACCGCCCTCAAGGAACCCAGCACCCATTCCGAACCCCAGGGAGCCTGATGGACCAACTATAAAAATCCCTTCGAAATCCCGGTTGGTCGCACGACTGCGCCAAGCCCAGGAACTTGTCCAACCGTTAACAAAACAACAACAAAAGCTTACAGACTATGGCCTGTAGGTAATTGGATGATTGTGTGAGGTCCACGTTTTTGAGCAAAACTGTCATTACCGTGATCTTCCACCGCGCTGGTTTTGGAGCGCCAGGTTGAAGAATTGCATTGCACATGTTTTCAGAACAACGTGTCGTACAGCTTCGCCTCCAATCTTCAACATTCCAGCAGCAGACAGACAGAAGGGGGAACGAAGAAGGAGGAATGGAACGATGGAGAGAAGAGGGGAGAAGCAGGAGGGACAAGTAAGGCTGGTGTTAGGACGTGAACTAGCAGACAAGCCCGAAGCCCGTTGAGAGATGTAAGCCGCGGGCCCGACGAGAGAAGCGACGCCGACGAGTGCTCGAGAAAGCGAAAGGGGGCGATGGACCGAAAATCGGCGGGACCTAATCGAAGGCGCGAAGACCTGCCGCAGGTCCTCGGAAGAAGCGAGCTCGCAGGCCAGCAGGCACAAGGGCAAAGCGTCGGAGCAGGAAAAGTTACCGATACCACCACCCGTCCCTTGTTTTCGCCTTTTTTGGGGCCTCTTGGGAGGACAAGGTTGCAACGACTGGACTCGCCTCGAAATTTTGGTCAGAACGCACTCCAGGAGAGGTCCAGGGGGTGTTCGAAAAAAGACTCTGGGCTACTAAGCCCGATTCAGAAGCCAATTAACGGGATCCGGCCGCATTGAACCGAAGGTTGAAACAGATTAGGCGGGATTACACCGGATTGAGTGGGCCGAGTTCAGAGCAACACGGCTTTTAATAGCGGATTTACCCGCGGCAATGCTGAATCAGCCCCAAAGGGCTTGCACCCGAGCGGCCAGGCTTGCTTTCTAGGAACCCCCACTAGTTGAAAACTAATTACCTTTTTCGGCTACCTTATTGGCGGACTGGGGTCCCACCCATCGTGGAACATAATGATTTATCCGAAGCACCCGCCGCACAACAACGACGACGACGACGACTACGACGATTACGACCACAACCACGACGTTGAGAACGAATACCAATCAAGACTACAACCTTGATTGCGAACGCGACTACAATCACAACTACAACAACGACAACTAATTTGCACTGCAATCCTGATGAAGATGCTCGCAAATCCACTCGCGCGTACAGTCGCCCATAATGAATATTCCACGGGGAGAAGAAACCCTGACATTATCCTGCCCACCCAACAATAGAGGGGAAATGACCTCCGCCGCGAGAACGACGACGACTACGACGACTACGACGACTACGACGACGACTACGAGAACGACCACGAGGAGAATTGGCCAATTTTCCCGTCCGAGATCAACTTTTCACTGCACCGGGACCAATTAACAGACAAGGAGGTCAAGACTGTGTACAACCTGCATTCCTGGCAAATATGGGCTCTGGAGGAGGGGTCGGACTCAAATCCAACCCCGATATGAAATATGTTAGGACCCTTCCCCAAATCCGCTGCCCAGGAAAGGTAATTCATAGATGAACCGAATTTACCCGTGCCCACGCTACGTCGGCCGGGGGTTGGGACACAAAAAAAAAGACTCGGGGGTTGGAATAACTCATATCGTCGGAGCTCTGGGACGCACGCGCCCGCCCGACGCCGCCCGCGTCCTCCGTCTGCGTGCCGATGGTGCACGAGCGCGCCGCCGCGCCCGCAGCGCCAAGGGGCGACGCGTGCCCCGAGCGCGCAGCCGCAGCGCCAGCAGCAACCGGCGACTTAGGGCCGCGCGGGCTCGGTGGCGAGGACGCGGGCGAATAGCCCGAGGGCGAACGCATGAACCATCGGCGCCCCTGGATAATTACATGTATTGCTCTCCCCTGAGCTATTCAACCTTATCGTCGCCTCCGAGCGGGCGCGCGGTGAGGCGACGCCGCGACGGGCTCGATCAGGCCGGCGAGGCGGGGACGAGGGCAGATACGGCGACGACCCTGGACATGCTCGCGCCTGGGCAACAATCGCGACGGGAAGCTTTTGGCAGATTTCGGCCTCCCGGGAGCTCCGCCACGCCCAGGACCGACCAAAGAGAGCTCGGGATGCAAAGCTGATCCAGGGGAAAGGGTCGAGAACCCTGGGGGTCGACGTTGCGAAAGAATCATGACGGCGTGGGTCTGGGGACGGAGACGCTGGCCGCCTGCGGTGGCCGACGACGACGACGAGGACGACCTTGACCGACGACGGCGGCGGCGACCACGATGACGAGCCAACGACGGCAACGGCGGCTCTTGCGGCGGCCAGATCGGCTCGATCGCGCGGCGGGGGTTCCCTGAGATCTGGGCGCCATTATGAAATCATGCCAGACTGCGTCGCCCGACCTCAGGGTTCCCAACGGCCCCTCTTGGGCAGGCGTGCGGCGATGGGGTCGGGAAGTCCTGTGGTGATTGTGGTCACCGCGCCGGGCCTCGTGAAAGGCTTCATGTTCGAGGCCGAGGCCTGAAAGCCCCACCAGCCCCATCGCGGCCCGCCGCTGCCAATCTTCACGGGCACA